CGGCAAGACCCTGCTGAGCACCGCGCTGCTCCGCGCCCTCTTCGCCGACGGCGCCCGCAGCGCCCACGTGCACCGCTTCGCGCCCGCGCTGCACTTCCCGCACGGCCCCGAGCGCCTGCCGCGGCACCAGGTACCTCCGCTTGTCGTCCTTAAAGCACAGCCCGTCTCGAGGGTGTGCGTGACCCCTGCATCTAGTCTCGCCTCCCGCTTTTGGGTGAGGAGCGCTCGCCTAGCGAACCCCGGTCCCCACCCAGCCGCCTCCTCGGGGCGCTCCCCTCCGTACCGGCCACAGCCCGCACAGGAGCCGCGCTGCTGGCCTCTCCCCTCCGGAGTGGGAGGAAACTTTGGCAGCCCCATTGTCTCCGCACAGAAGCGCTTCAGAGGGGAAGTAGGAGAGGACGCACACGTTAAACCGGAGAACGGTGTAAACCGTGGCTTGGCTCCCCCCTTGGTGATGAAACCAGCCATGGGTTTGGCAGTCCTGTCACCCCCCAACCCCCCCAGAGCTGAAAGGGCATCTCCCTGCCAAGCCACAAGGGATAAGAGGGCAGCAGGATAGGTTTGCTGCTGGAGTCGGAGTATTAAACCTCTCCTGATTATCAGTTCAGTGCACCCTTGGTGCCTTCTCCCTAAACGGTTTGTAACAAGATGATTAAAGCAGGACCAGCTCACCAGGTGAAATCCAGAGCTTAGCAAACACACTTCATCAGCGCTGCTTCTCGCACTGTGCTGCGCAGACACTCCCAGTAGCAGAGAGAGCAGGGGGCAGACTACAAAGTTGCTTCTGACATCGTAGGCCCAAGCTGAGGAATCCACATATGCTTTGCTCCGTGGTAACTCAGGCTCCACCCCAAGCTCTCGACACTCACAGGCCTTTTAAAAAAAAAAAAAAATCTTCCGCAGGAAAATCTAAGGAATTGGATCCAGGGGAACTTGACAAGCTGCGGGCGCTCGGTGTTCCTCTTCGATGAGATGGATAAGATGTACCCGGGGCTCATTGACGTGATCAAGCCGTTCCTGGGGCCCTCATGGGTTGTGTTTGGAACCAACTACCGCAAAGCCATCTTCATTTTCATCAGGTAGGAGTGACTGGTCTGACTGGGCGAGGGAGCATTTGAATGCTCTGGTGACATGAGGGAACCTTCCTCCCTGTTTGAATGATGCAGCTCGGGGTTTTACCTCCTGTCAGGCCTGAGCTTCTGCTGAAGTCCACGAGATCCTACCTTCACCTTAGTAACACAAGGTGCAAGGTCTCGTGGGGCTTTGCTTTTGCTCTTGCCTGGTAACTTCTCACAGGCTAGGCAGGCAGGACAGAGGCTGCTCTCAGATGCTGTCACTCACAGCATGGCCTCTGCAGTGCAGCACCACTTCTAAGATTATAAGAATATCTCTCTTAACTTCTTGCCTTGCTCTTCTGGTTGCTGTTGCTCAGCAACGCAGGAGAGGAGCAGATCAATCGGATGGCGCTGGAACTGTGGCGTGCCCGCAAGGACCCAGAGGAGATCAACCTGCCGGAGCTGGAATCTGCCATTTCCAAAGCTGTGTTTGAAAATCCGGAGAGTGAGTTGGGTTTTCAGTGCGTGTTGGCACCAGCGGAGGGCGCTAGACCACATCTTGAGTTGTCAGATCATTGGCATCTGAGATGTGTGGGCCTGGTAGAAATTATCAGGAAGATGGAAATGAGAGCTGAGTAGGTCAATCCGGCACGTGGAAGAAGCGCTCTTATTAGAGCCAGCAGCTCCCTTGGAAGGAGTAGAGTAGGAGGCAGGCAGTGCCCAGGAAAAGTTTAATTGAGAGCCTGATCCTGAAAGGCACTGAGCACCTGAAGCTCACTGTGGCTGCACTGCTTGGTGCTTGCCCCTCAGGATTGGGCCTCAGAGAGGTGGGGAGGAGGGGGAGCCTGAAGTGTCAGCACTTGGGATGGGAACTGCAGGACTTGGAGAGCATGGAGTTGTTCTGAGGAAGGATGTGGCTCTTCCTTCTCCTAAGCTGAAACCAGAGCAGATGCATTTGTCTGTAGTCAGGGCACCACAGGCATGTAGAAATTCCTCCTGGTTGGTGGGGGCCTCTCCTTGCCCATTAGGGCAGCGCTCCATGGGCAGAGATGCTCTCGGCTCAAAGCCCCTCGGCCTCTCCCTCTTCCCCTGCAGACGGGTTCTGGAAGTCTGAAATCATCCAGGAGCAGCTCATTGATGTCTTCGTGCCCTTCTTCCCACTGAGGCGGCACCATGTGAAGCAGTGCGTGGTGAACGAGCTGGCCCAGCTGGGCTTGGAGGAATTGCCAGCAGTGGTGCAAGAAGTGTCCGACAGCATCTCCTACTTTCCGGAGGAAGAGCAGGTCTTCTCATCCACTGGCTGCAAAACTGTGGCCTCGCGCATCAACTTCTTCCTCTAACGCAAGGACTAGCCTGCCAAGGGAGTGTGCAGTGGCTCCAGGTCATTGGCTGGCAGGAAGTCTGCCCCTTGGCTCCAACTCCCTGGAGGTAACCTGGAGCAGCTGCTGGGCCCAGTAACATAAGGATGGGCCCAGAGAGCAGACAGCACAACTGATGCAAGCGCTACCAGCTGTGCTCATCCCTCTTCCACCAGCCCCGCCACAGAGCCAGATGTGGGGAGCAAAAGACAAGTGACTTGACCTTCAGCACTTTATCAGCTGATTCTTTGCCCTGGAAGGTAATGACAGACTGGCCAGGCATGCTCATGATGTGCTCGAAGGGGTACGCTGCAAGAACTAGGAAGGAGCTTTCACAGCCACCACCTTTCTTCCAGGGCTGGGACCAGGCAGCCTGCCCTCCCGCTCTCACAGTCAATCCTAGCCCAGCTGTGCTGAGCTGCAGGGAAAGGAGTCCTGCCCTCCTGTGGTTTTTAATGGAATTTTTAACCCTTATTTTAACCTGAACCTCAGTCGTGATTCCCTGGACAGTGAGTGCTGGTGTCAGGACCCTGTAGCACTGCCCTTGTGCACATCAGGTCTCAGTTATGTCTTCAGTCTCTGGAGCACACGTTTGAACTGGGTGTTCTCAGGTTCTCTCTCACTGTGAATGCACTGCTGGGTCTCAGTCGCAGTCTCCTCAGTTGTACCAGGTAGAGGGCACAGAGGGAAAACCATGCGACTTGGGGAGTGATGGTGGCCAGCCTTCCCCTCCCAGGACATAGCATCTCTCTCTGCAGGCACTAGGCCAGTAGCCACCCTGGGAAGCATCAAGGGCTGTACAGGCAAGTGCCTCCCCCTCGCAGAGCAGCAGTTCCTACCTCCCAGACAGAGCGAGCATCTCCTCCTGGTTATGAAGTCCCCCCAGGAACGGTACTGTGCTTCAGTCCGTGACTAGGGTGAGTCTTCACCCTGCCCCCTCCATGCTGTAGAGCTGATGAACTTACTGCACATCCAGGCAAGCAGGGTCTCTGGTATCCAGGCCCTTGCCGGCTGCCTGCTGGCCCTGGCAGAGCTGCTGCCACTCAGCGTAGCAGTGCCAGTGCTGCCAGGCGTGGAAGGGACAGCAAGCAGTAGCTCCCTGCTCAGCACTGCCCAGGACAGTGCCACTGACCCTTACGTGGTGCCTACTGGCCTTTGCTCCCCACTAGGAAGTGTTAAACTGGACTTCAGAGAAAGGGGAAACTGCTGAGGCTGGGAGCTGGGCTGACAGGTCTGCGGGTGGGTGAATGTGCAAGGTGGGAGTTGAGTGCCAGGCCTGCACCCATAGGCCCAAGGTGTCTTCAACACTGCAGTGGAGCAGCACTCCAGTCTCACTCATATTTGGCTCCCTCGATCAGAGGCAGGAGCCAGCACTATGAGCCTCTACTGGGATCCCACCCAAGCTGCAGCTGGACCAAGATCCTGGTTTATAGTTACACATTCTGCCTCTTCCAGAAATGTTCGCTGGTCTTAATTAAAATAAATCTCGTCAAGAAACTGGCCTGGCTTCACTGTCATTCCTTTGGACTGGAGCTGGCAGGGCAGACAGGAAATATTAAGAAGCCATGTAACGGGCTGGAACAGCTGCCTGCCACGGCAGAATGAGGTTGGACAGGAGCAGGGAGAGATGCCCAGTGTCTGCTTGAATAACAGAAAAGGGGTTTGGGAGGCTAACAGAGTCCAGTGAGAGGGGCATCGCTGTTCTACTTGACCACAACCATCCAGGGTAGGGCCCAGTGAAGCCACAGCTGCCCCCTCTGCCACTTGCATCTTTTTGTCTAAAATCCACGAAGCTGCCTGGACAGTGCTCAGGGGATAGGGGACAGCAGGGCAGGCAGGCTGCAAAAGCATGGCCCTCCCTTCCCCCCTTGCAATCAGAAGGCCCCAGCAGAACTTCTTCCTGCAGGGAGGGAGCACCTTGCTGCTGTCACTTCTCTCTAGCTCAGCCTTGCTGCAGCTCGAGGTGAAACTAACAGGCTTCTTGTTAAGCATGTTGCCCCTTCCTTTTCTTGATGTAGGCTTTAGCAGCATCTTCCCCCACCCCTGTCAACCCATAAAGCCAGGCAAGGTGCTGGGCTGGGGTGGACAGGCAGGTGCAGCTACACATGGAGGAGCTGATGCTGGCACCTTCAGACTCACTCTCAGTGCAAGCACAGGACTAAAATCGAGGGGCCTGCCTTCAATAGGCAACTTAAATGGGGCATGGCCCAGGGTGCACTTCAGCCCCTTCCAGGTCCGTGAGCTGGATCCCACCCCCAAAATGGCCAGGGCACTTTGTCCACGCTCACCTCTGGCAGGGGAGCAGGGCCTGTTTCCCAGGGCAGTGCTTTGTAGACAATGATGCCTGGAGAAAGGGCTTGGCTGAGGCAAGTCCCAGCCTCCTGAGCAGACTGGACCTGCACCCAGCACAGGGAAGAGTCCTCTCCATTTCCCTGGGATACATAGAGAGACAGGAGCCACCTCTTAGTCACACAGTCTATTCTGGGCAGGGGTAGGCTGAGTACACCTCTGCTGGCTGCGGCCCCTGGGTTGCTGTATGCCATGAGGCCTTGGCACTCACTTCCTGCTTCTCCCCCTTCCCTTGCCAAGTGGGAGCACTTACTCTGCTCGCGCTGCTTCCAGAAGCAAACCTCTTCCTGTACAATTCAAGCTCAGTTGTACAGGAGCTGAGGCTGTTCTCTGCATGCCACAGGATGCTAGCAGGCTGCTCTGCCACTTCGCTCCCAGTGCCTGGTTCTTTTAGCTCATCCTCCAGGTCTGCCAGGGAACTGGAAGGGGACATGCAAAGCCAGTGACTCGCTGCAGAGCCCTGGCAAATGGAATGCACCAATGCCTCTGCGCAGTGAGGGGAAGGCAGTTGCCCCAGTGTGTCACTGGGACCCTAGCACCTTCCCTCCAGGACTACACATCTGCTCGTAGTGAGATTGAAGGGCCTCAACTCCCAGGTTCTCCAGCCCCAATACTGTCAACAGCCATCAGCAGCAATTTCATCAGCCCCCACACCATGCCCAGTCCCCCAGTGCCCACCCACTGCCTGCTTCATACCAGGGGGCCTTGGCAAGGTCCTGGTCCGCTGGGCAGGCCTGAAGCTTTGCATCCAACAGGGCTCTGGCAAGGTCCCCGACCTTGCTGCTCAAGATGCTCTGGACAGACTTTCCTGGGAAGAGGCTGGTGATAAGCAGCATGGCCTGCAGCAGGGAAAGGGCAGAGGTGAATGGCACAGCAGCACGTACTGACGGGCACAGCTCTGCCTCTCCCAAGCTCGGGGCAGACCTCAGGATAGTCAGGCTGCTCCCAGCCAGCCCTGCTCAACAGCGTGACCCTGCAGCGAGGGCAGCCTGACAGGAACTGCTCAGGCCCAATGAAATCCCACTCAAGTGCAGAGTCTGTTTCTCATTTACTCCATCAAGATCTGTCAGGGAAAAGGAACCTACCCTCCCTGCAGAGCGTGGTCAGCTGGGTTGGAGTGACACTGATGGGGACTGAGGGGTCTCACCCTTCCACTCTGGGCTGGGTTCATTTTCCCAACAGCCACCTTATCACCCCTTGCCACACAGGCCCCAGCAGACAAAGCTGCCCATGGCAAGACAGGGCTTTGCAGCTTTACATTCAGTAGCAGAAAACCTCTTTCACCAGTGTTTATTATTTCAACAAACTGCTGCAAGGCTCCAGTCCTAGTTACAAGTATTGTGGTAGTGCCTGAGGGACCCTGAGCACAGCAAAGAACCCCCCACCACTCTACATGCTGTATAAACATGGAAGAGAAAGACAGCCCAGCCCCACTTAGCACCTAAATGGAAGAGTTCAGAGAAGGGGCAAGCCAGGTGCAAACAGATCTCCCCTGCCTGGCCATGACTGCCCCAGCCAGCGGGCTTAGGGTGGTACCTCCTCATCTGCAGGGTCCAACAACAGTGCCATGGCAACATCCTCCTTGGCACCCATCACCTCCTGCAGGCCCATGCGGCTCTTGGCCCGGTGCAGAAAGTACCGCGGCAGGCGAGGGTCGCAGTCAATGGCATTGGAGAAGTACGACTCGGCCTGCTGGTACCGCCTGTGGGGCAGAGTTGGCTTTGCAGAGCCGCTACCATGCAGGGAAGGGGGCGGGGAGGGGAAGGGAAGGTGGAGCCACAGCTACACACCTCCTCCTGAGTTCTCGCATCCCCAGCTTGTCCAACAGCATGGAAACGCGGCGCTGCAGGCTCATGTCCCATGGGCTCAGCTCCAGTGCCTGCTGGTAGTCGGCCAAGGCATAGGAGAGCTCCCCCAGCTGGAAGAGGCAGTCTGCAGAGGAGCAGGACAGCTGAGCAAAGGACAAGGCAATGTCCAAGCATCTTGGCTCCATCTAGTTCCTGCAGAGGCTGAGAGAAGCTAGGGACTGCTGCTGCCCAGCTGCTCAGCCTGGGGAGCTTCAAACCAATAGGAAACACATTAAGGCCAGACTGGATCACGCCTCCCAGCCCAACCCACTGGACAAACCATGTGTGCTTCAGCCAACTCTGGCAGCTGGCCAGCAGCACCCAGCATGGCTGAGCAAGCTGACAGGATGGGATGAATCAATACAACCAGCCACAGGGGGTTCAGGGAGGCAAAACACAGCTTCCACCCTGGAATGAGCCTGGGTGACCCCACAACAGGGCTGAACAGGCTTGGGGTTATCCCCAGCCGCATGGTGTTAACTCAAGTCCGTCAGCAATGGGTCATTCACAGCTGCCACTACTTTGCAGCTATGGAGCCCTTCCTGCTTCCAAAGCACCTCACAAACACTGTCTCGTCCTCCTGGCCTCTCTACCAGGGCCATCATGTTTAAAGCCAAAGACATGGGCATGGGGGAGCAAAGCAACAGACTGACTACACCACCCTCGGGGAAGCGGTGACAAGGGTAGGGATGGAACCCAGAAGTCCTGACTCCCAGTCCCCACAGAAGCCTGCACCACCCCTCCCTTACACAGACCCTAGAGGGAAAAGCTGCCTGCCACCCACATGAACATCCAGCTAACAAGGGCCTCCAAGATGGTTTCCCTGGGCTGTTCTGCTCCAGGCCACCTCCACACCACCTCCTGTGCGTGTGCCATGCCCAAATTGTATCACTGCACCACTCTGCCCAGCCCTGACTGCACTCTCCCACCCCAGACGGATGTTTCCAGCTTGCGACACATTTAGAAGTGAGCTGATCTGCCTCTGAGGCCCCCCCCACAGCCCAGCCCAGGCCAGCCCAACCCAGCCCAGGACCTGCCCTATTACCTCCTCTGTTGACATAGAGCCCCTTTTCATTCTTATCTGCCTTCAGAGCCTTGTTCAGAAGCAGCAGTGCCTCTTCAAAGCAGCCCCTGGTGTAGCAGTGAACTGCAAAGTCATTGTAGGTGAGCAGGAGCTGGTGCTGCACCTCCAGGCTGGCTGGTCCCCCCACCTCAACCAGTTCCACAGCCCTTATGTAATCATCAATGGCTGCATTGAAATCCTTGAGCCTTCTATAGAGAGTCCCTCTGGCACGAGAGTCCCACGGCGTGGAAGAAGGGAGACAGACAAGGGCAGGGAGGGGCATTAGAGCCAAACAGCAGGGGGCCAACAGTCAGGCTCCCTCTGCCTTCCATGGGTCCCACATCCCTGATGCCACAGGGGACCCAACTCAGCTGTCTCAAACTGCCATGGCTATCTAGCAGCAGCAGGCAGTAGTGGGGGCTCTACCTGAATATGAAGTACTCAGCTTCCAGGGGGCTGTTCTCCAGGGCAAAGTTGATTTTGAGGATGGCTTCCCCCAGATCCCCCATTAGGGCCTTATTCACAGCTTCAGCCTTGGCTTTCTGGGCTCGCTTCAATAGCTTTTGCATTAGTGCCTGAGCTCCCTCATGCTGTGGCTCCAGAACCATGGCCTTCTGGATGTCCTGGTAGCACAGAGGAACCTGGAATACAGAGGACCAAGCTGCACTTGAGGACTCATGTGGGCAGGGCCTCTCATGCATCCTTCAGTCTCATACCGCTAACCACCTCTATGCCCTCACCCAAAGCTCCAAGTTGCCTGATTAAACATGGAGCAGCAGAGCTCTTGCATATCCTTAGGAGCCAGTCCTTCAAACAGGCTTGTGTGGACACCAGTGCCCCCACCACTGAGGCAGCTATCAATTCACCCAGCAAAGGGTTAATTTCAAAGCGAGGCTCCATCCCCAGTCACTAGAGCCCTGGCTGGGCCACATGCTCAGAGCCTTTCTTCCATGAGAAGGCCTTGCACACAGCACAGCCTGGGCAGCCAAGACGCCTCCCCCACCTTGTTGAAGTGGTCATAGAGCCTGGCTCTCAGGGTGTACAGGTCTGGGTTCTTGGGGTCTCGATCCAGGTCTCTGTTAACCAGGTGCAGACAATCAGAGAATCTGTTCAGGGCAGCAAGGCAGGCAATACTACAGCGAGAGAGAGAGAGAGAGGACAGGACTAGGAACCAGTGGAAGAAGGCAATCACTAGCACAGCAGAAGATTGCCGCTGCTCCCCACTCCCACCCTACCCCAACTGCCTGCCCTGGCCTTACCATTTCCTGTGATACACCACATTGTTGGGCTGCAGCTCTGAGGCTTGAGTGAAGGACTCCAAAGCATCCCAATAGACCTGCTGGTCAAACAGACACTGACCCTACAGGTGCAAAACAAACAGCTCAGAATCAGTCTGACCCTGGGCACCCACACACTGCTCCCAGTTCATGAGGGCAGGATCATGGCTGTCTGCACTTCTCCAGGCTAGAGGAGAGACACAGCTCCTCCCTGGCAGAGGCACAGGCTCCATTGGCCTTTCCCGTGCTGCAGATGACTAGGTTTCAACAGGTCGCAGCAGATATCCAGGCAAGGTCTGTGGCTGAAGGGATATGAGCAACTGGCTCCTCTTAAAAAACAGGATTGCCTTGTCTTGCACTCCAAGGGGCATCTCCAGCTGTCCCCCAGGGCCATGAGAGCCCCTGTCCCCATGGAAGCACGGAAGGCATAAGCCTGCCAAGAGGAGGCCCCTGGGTCTCTCACCTGCAGGCAGAGGATGAAGGCCATGCGGTTGAGGTACTCCTCCTTCAGTGAGGACAAGGAATGAGCCTTCCGGAGGTTCAGCACCGCGGACTGGAAGTCGCAGAGCTGGAGAAAAGCTTCTGCTCTCTGCACGTAGAACTCCACCTGCGTGTAGAGCGTGGCCAGACAGCCGCCTGAAGAGCGCAGGAGCCCTCCATTTCACCAAGAGACAGGCCTCCTCCTTGATCCACTCACCCTTTACCTGGGCAGGTGAGGTCAGCCCCGCACCCCCAGCAGATCTGAACGAGGGCTGATGTTCACCCCCCTGCTCTGCCCTCCGTTAGACCACCTCAGACACACAAGAGCACTGCAGGCTTTGGCCCGAAGTGCCCCATGGCCCCTGCCTCATCAGGAGCTCGCACCTTCACATGAGTACTCCCGTTCTGCATTCCCCCTGGCAAGGCCCTGCAGCCCTTACCTGCTGGGGGTCCAGGTTAATGGCTTTGGAGTAGCAGAGGACAGCTTTCTCCCACTCGCCCTGGGAGAAGCACTGCATGCCTTGGCAAGCGCTGCAACGAGAAGATGTGTCACTTGGCGCCAAAGCATATTCCTCCCAAGAGCTTGGACTGGGTTTCCCCACACATGCCTGGGAGATGACACCCGCTTGCCCTGCCCAGGCCACTCCAATGATTAACTCGGTAGCTTGCTGCCCCCCCGAGGGGCAGCGGAGGAGGAGGGTGCTGCAATCACCCCGCAGCATTCGCCAGCTCGGGGCTCTCAGCACCCCAGGGAGGGGAACAGGCAGGGCCACGATGACGTGGCCTAGTTGCCCCCAACATCCAGACACACGGGGAGGGGAGAAGAGCCTCAGGCATCTGGCACGAGGCAGGGAAGCCATCGCCCTGTGCCTGGGGAGGCAGGAGGAGCCAGGGGACACTCACTGCTCCCGCGCCCTGTCCTGCAGGATGGCCGCGCCCGGCTGCGCCTCACAGGGGGGCTCCACCTCCGGCAGCGCCTGGCCGAGCCCCAGGATGTGGTGCAGGAAGCTCCCTGGGGCGCCCGCCAGCGCCTCCTCCATGGGGCCGACCACGAGGGGTGGTCACTGCTAGGACCCCGACCCCGGCTCCTAAAGCCACCAGTGCCCTCTGACCCTTGACCTCACACGGTACCCTCCGACCCCGCCCAGTGCCCTCTGACCCTTAACCTCACTCGGTACCCTCTGACCCCGGGGCCTCAGCCCCTGCTTCCTCTGCACCCCCCACCCCGGTGTCAAGGCCTCGCCAGTGTCTGCGCGCCGGGGGCGGCTCCCGCCTGGCTGCGCCGCGTTGCTAGGCGATAACAGGCCGCAGGGATCAGGTTTCCCCGCCATCTTTGATGTGGGCACGAAGCCTAGGCCTCACAGCCCGGCCGGCGAATAAGCAGGTAACGACCGGCTACAGGTGCGTGAGGGGCGCGACCAAGACGGAGACAGGAACCCTAAGCCTGCCAGCTTCAATTAAGGAACACTTCTGCCCATAAGAAAAATGGCGGCCACCCGGCCTCACCACCGCCCCCTTCATGCCCGCAACCAAGATGGCGGCGGCACTGTCGG